CCATAGGTTTGCCATCACTGTGCTGGTATCTGAGTCCACCTTCAGTTGTTTTACCTTTGGTCTTGGAAATGCTATCCACCCCAGGAAAAAGGATTGACCAAGGAAAGTTAAATTCTATTCTATTCTAGTCTTCTCTATATTCTATTCTACTCTATTCTATTCTCTATTCTTCTCTATATTCTATCCTATTCTGTTCCATTCTCTATTCTTTTCTATATTCTATTCTACTCTATGTACTGTTCTATCTTTACTTCTCTATATTCTATTCTATTTATTCTATTCTATTCTCTTTTCTTCTCTATATTCTATTATATTCTATATTCTATTCTATACGCCATACTCTATTCTCTATATTCTATTCTATTCTATTCTCTATTCTTCTTTATATTCTACTCTATTCCTTATTTATTCTCTATATTCTACTATTCTCTATTCTTCTCTATATTCTATCCTATTCTATATTCTATTCTATACTCTATACTCTATTCTCTATATTCTATTCTATTTATTCTATTCTATTCTTCTTTATATTCTACTCTCTTCCTTATTTATTCTCTATATTCTACTCTATTCTATTCTCTATTCTTCTCTATATTCTATTCTATTGTACTCTACTCTACTCTACTCTACTCTACTCTACTCTTTGCGTTCCTAGAGCGGCTGCATCTTCTTTCTAAAGTCCTCATGGTGGAAAACTTTCTACATTTCTCCTCAGAAAGCATGTGACCAGGGCACATTTTTCCAATCCTGTCTTTTTAAAAAAAGAAATGCTCAGAGGCTTCATCTTCAGACAAATCTCCCTCTTTACTGGAGAGGAGTTTCCTCCTTTGTTTGGGTCTAACACCACTTTCTCTCTCTCTCTCTCTCTCTCTCCTTGAAAGAAATCGCCAGGAGACTGCAGCAACTTCGACAAGGAATTTATCAACGAAAAACCCCGGCTCTCCATCGGCGACCGGACCCTCATCAACAGCATGGACCAAAACATGTTTAGGACTTTTTCGTTTACCAACCCCATCATGGAGAAATTGCTATCCTGAGGAACGACCTATAAAAGGTGCATCCTGGTGAAGTCAATCCAGACAGCGGGAAGTGACTGCCAGGGCTGGTGTGGCGTCTACCTGTCCCCTACTCTGAACTTGCAGGTTGTGAGAGTGCAAAACTTGGGTGAGATATCCTCGCGCATCCTGTATTCTCATTCACCGGGCAACCAGGAGGACGGAAGGACCTGCTTTGAGAAGAAGACTTGCAGTGATTCCTTGTTCTGACTCAGCTCCCCAAACACGGCAAACCCTTTGAAGGGAATTCAAAAAATTTTCCTTTATTAGGAAAGTCAGTAGCCCCGGTAAAAAGTTCTTGCAGGCTAACAAGTCCGCCCAGCAGGGAGATGAATAGTTGTCTGCCTCATTTATTCATCTCCTTCCCCTGCCTTTTATCCCCAGAGTTAGAGTGGGGCTTCGCTAGCAGCGGTGGCTCTTTTGTCCCGAGGACCGGCCCATAGATTTTCAGTGCTCTCCTCTCCTCTGCCTTCTGTGCATCCGCACGTCAGTCACTGGACCCCGATGTTTCTCCTCTTCTTCATCAGCCACCTCCAGATCTGGGGCTGTTGACTCTCCATCTGAGGGCTGATGGACAGCCTAGGCTCCACCCCTCTCCCTCCCTCCTCCCCCCCCCGCCAGCTCTTCCTCTTCGGAGGTCTCAGGTTGCCTTGATCCTAACCCTGACTCCCACACCTCCTCTCCTCCTCTGATTCAGCTGCCAGAGGGGCCAGCGGCCAACAGGCCACGACACTTCCAAGACTGGAATTACAACTGCACAAAAAATTTCTCAAGACAACCACTGCAGAGTTTTTGATGTGCTGCAACCTGTTACCCTTCTTGGTTATAATATAAGTCTTTGGCTGATGCTTCTCCAAGAGTTTGCAAACCAAGGATGCTGCAGATATACTCCTCGGCTTACAACCATTCGTTTAGTGACCCAAGTTACAAAAAAAAGCAACTTAGGGCCGGTTTTCACACTTACAACCATTGCAGAATCCCCAGGATCAAAATTCCGGTGCCTGACAACTGGCATGTGCTTATGACGGTTTGCAGTGTCCAAGAGTCACATGATTTCCCCCTTTTGCGACCATCTGACGAGTGAAGTCAACGGGGAAGCCAGATTGACTTAACAACCACGTTACTAATTTAACCTTAACCCTTAATGGCTGTGGCAAAAAAAGGTCGTAAAATGGAGCAAATCTCACTTAACCGTTGTCTTGCTTGCAATGGAAATTTTGGGCTCAATTGTCATCGTACGTCGAGGACTAACTATATATCAAGTTTCTTCCCTTTCCTCCAACTGGAATACAGTGATCCTCCTGTCAGATTATCGGTAGTCCTCGACTTATGACTGTCAGCTTTGAAAACCATATTCCAGCTTCCGAATAGCCTAGGAGAGTGGGAGGAAGGAGATTTGGGATAATGTCAGCTTTCCAGCAAACCTCCACTCCAATCAGTAACTCCGAGACAACCATATCTCAAAAGTACCTTTATTAAAATAGCACCTGGCACATCGGTGGAATCCCAATTCTAAAAGTTTTTTCGGGCTTTCCGCAATTTCCCAAACTACAAATCCATCCCCACTTGGCGGTCATCACATCAGGTGGACCAGTCACGATCTGTTCCAAAAGTAAGATCCTTATTTCATCCTGTGCCATACTCAACGACCTTGGACTAACAAAAGAATTATATTTTGTCTACTTAGAGCTACTTCATTGAAATCACCCCACTTCCACTCTCCCAGGCTATGTGGCAGCGTGGAATATGGTTTCCAAAGCTGACAGGCATCCCCCCTTGAGAAATTCACCTCCTAAAAGAGACAATAAGCAATAAACAAAACACAACCACAACTTTTGAGATATGTTTGTCTCGAAGTTGCTGATTGGAGTGGAGGTTTTCTGGAATACTGACATTATCCCAAATCTCCTTCCTCCCACTCTCCTAGGCTATGTGGCAGCTGGAATCTGGCTTCCAAAGCTGACAGTCATAAGTCAAGGACTACCGATAATCTGTAATTTCTTCTTCTGCATGGGACTATTCAGAAGGATGACACTCACGAAATATGATCCTACAACAGACATTCAATAGCGTGCAGGTAGTCCTCGAATTTACAACAGTTCATTTAGTGACCGTTTTGAAGTTACGTACTGAAAAAAGGTGATTTATGCCCACTTTTCACACTTACATCTGTTGCAGCATCCCTGTGGTCACGGGATCCAAGTTCGGACGCTTGCCAACTGGGCTCATACCTATGACGGTTGCAGCATCTGGGGTCATGTGATCCCACTTTGCGACCATCGGGCAAACCAAGTCAGGGGGGAAGCCAGATTCACTGAACAAGCATGTGATTCACTTAACAACCCATGGCAAGAAAGGTGGTAAAGTGGGACAACACTCACTTAACAGCTGTCTTGCTTAGCAACAGAAATTTGGGGCTCAATTGAGGTTGTAGGTCAAGGACCACCTGTAAATGTCTGATGGGTAACATCATGTATTTTATTTTGCTAAAATCCAAAGGAAGGAAGGAAGGAAGGAAGGAAGGAAGGAAGGAAGGAAGGAAGGAAGGAAGGAAGGAAGGAAG